AGGATGTAGAATTTAGGTACCTTTTGTAGTATTTAAAAATTGTTGTGGATATCGAATTCTGTATTATTGCTGTGGCTGCATATACAGGTGTTCAGTCATCTAGATGCTAAGCTGCAATATTATTTGCTTCTCGATGTATTATCGGGGTATTTACTATATTTGTTTGCTAGATCAAATAACTAGCATGAATTTCCATAGTTACCCTAAGTTTACAATTGCAATAGTTACTATTAAGTAAATGCTCTAGATAATAAATGTGGCAGGGTTGCAGGGTCTACTGCTCCCTCCAATTATAATTATATTATAACACATAAATAACAGTGATGTTTGTCAGTCAGTTGAATAGCGGAACTGGGCCGGTCATTCAGCCCCATTGAGGTAGTTCAGCCCCAATTTATGTAAAAAAATAATAGGTCTATCTTTTTCTTTAGAGTGACAGTGTGACAGTGACAATTCAAAATTGTAGGTTGAAGTATAAATTAATAGGTTTGTTCAGTAATATTAATATTTTTTGCAGATTTTTACAATTATTGGGGCTGACTGACCAGCACGGTCCCGCTATTCAACTGACTGACCAACAGTACTGTTATTAATATGTTATATATAATATGTATAACGATTTTCATATTTAGTAAATTCGTTGCATTACCCAAGTTATCTCGACACCTTTAACAAGACACCCTGGGTCCTTGTCCCAAGTTTCGCTTGACTGACCGCGGTATGTTTATGTACGTAGATCAACTGTCCAAAAACTAGCTTTAGTGAATTCAGAGAATTTTTTTGGCACTGGCTCTTAGACTATATTAGCTGTGTTTATTTACGTTTTTCTCTGATTTTTTAAAATTTTATCAATATTAGAATTGGTTTACTTCGCTTAAATTCAATGATTAGCTTAGCATTATATAAATAAAACGATATATCTATTAATTATGACCGAAGAAGGAAATTCCAAAGGGCAATCCGCCAATCTATAATTTGTGATATGTTTATAGTAACAAAAGTAAGTAGGTATGTGCATTTGCCGAATGCTAGAGCAAAAAACACTGTACCCAACGTTGGATCTAACGTTGGATCTAACGTTGGGGCCAATGGTTGGACACATCGTGTGGCGCCGGCTTAACGCAAAATCATACTACGTGAATCCAGATTTAAGGTCGTTTGAAATGCTTTTATTTCGCGCGAAACTTTAAACATTTTTCACCAAGTTATTATTGAGTTTTAGGGAATAATATTTGGGGAATACTCTTTCAAGACATAAATAAATGATTTAAAAAAAAAAAAAAAAATTGTAAAGTTCCCTATTGTAATAAATACAAGTTAGAAAGTAGTAAAAAATGACATGCGCGCGCAACTCGTGGCTGCAGTGTAGCCAGATTGTATTGTTGCACAACAAATGTAGACAATACAAATCGAACATTATAACATTGAAGAAGTGATATATTGTCAAGTGTTTTACAACGCCTTAAATCAGACAAAAGAAGAGCTTTAAAGAGTATGTTAACATGGATGGCACTTTTATTTTGATAAACGTTTCATCCGGCAACATTGCACAATGAAATTGGCGAAGGAATATGTCAAGTATAATCTAATATAACCTTAAACGACACTGCGATAAGTTCAAGTAATACGTAAAATATTAGTTTGCTCTTTGTCGAATTACACGTTATAAAGAAAGAAGGAACGATTCATTCTGAACTCTTCCCTGAATACGAATATGACGCAAGCCCATAACAAACTCGATTTTCATTGGACGCTCACCTGCAACCCACGAGTTGCGCGCGCACACCAGGTATTACGAGATACGTCAATTAGACATTTATTTTTTTTCAATTTTACTATCACCGCTGTTTTAGATGTATTCAACAAGGATAGAGAAAAATCACTTGACTTTAAAATGGTATTTGTTGGACTTCACATACAGTTTAAAAAGTAGCTAAAATCTGTTTTTTTTTTTTAAAGATAAAAGTCAAAATGACATTATGTTGGCAATACAATGGCCGAGTTTGTTTTTGTCATCTTTTTCGTCGATTTGCTCTGAAATTTTGACAGGCACGTGACTGGATAAGACAGTTTCAATCATTTTTCAATTTTTCAAAATTTCGGAGCAAATCGACGGAAAAGATGACAAAAACGAGCTCGGCCAATGTAAAATTGTCAATGGGTACATTCAGGCGGTCCCAGCAGCTTAGTTCAGCCACTCAGCGGGAACTTTATTCTCAAAAAAGGGTTGCAGCATTCTCATTGGAACGAAGGTTCTGTCTTTGTCGTCTGGCATAACACTGACAATGACAGAGCAATCTTTCTTATGAGAACGCTGTTCCTTGGTATCAAGGATAGAGTCCCTGCTGAGTGGCTGAGCTTAGCCGCTGGGACCGCCTGAATGTACCCAATCTTTCAAATTTTTTATGTAGAAAAGGCTTGTGCTGCCAACATAGTCACTAAATTTTTGACTTGGGGAATTATCAATAGTGCAATGGAAATTATTGATAATTTTTGGGAAATTTGCCCTAATGCATTTTTAGTTGAAAACGCATGAGTGCAAATTTGTTGAAAATTATAAATATATTTCCATTGCACGAGTTGTATTTAATGAGAGAATTTCATAAATCAAAAATTTAAATTTTTTGTCAAAAAATGTCAAAACACCAGTTTTCGCACCAGTTAGTATGCAATTATCTGATAATTTGCACTAGTGCAAATTATCGCGTAATGACAATCTGATTGGTTCAAATCAACAATCAAAACATGTCAATTTATTGTTGGAATACCAGTTTTGACAGATGTATGAAATTTTCTTTAAAAAAAAAACAGACTTTACATGTGTTTTATATGTGGTATTATATTGGATTAAATTTGCTTTAATTTCCTGAAAAGGTTTTTTCAAATATCAAATATCAAATGCAGGTTTAGGTTAGTTTGACCTCTGCATTCTGGATTACCAAAAACTGAGCTGAAAACCAATCATTAGCTTTAGCTCCAAAGTTAACTAATGGAACCTTGCATTTGATCCTACACTCGATCCTACTTGATGAACTGCTGTTGTATTTCCAAACTGAGCAAAATAAAAATGAAAAACATTCCTTATCATAAAGCAATTATTGGGATATTCAGGGAATTTGTAAGAGGCACTTGTGGGGGATTGGCGAGGAGTTTGTAGGAATTTGTGGGGTATTTGGAGGAATTTGTGGTGGGGTATTTGGCGGAATTTGAGGGAATTTGGAGAATTTGTGAGAAATTTGAAAAATTTTGTATGAAAAATTCCCCTTTGAGAAATTGTTTGCACAAATTCAGGGGTGGGGGGGTGGATTACCCCTTGGTTCCTAGAGATGCAGATTTTAATGAAAATTTGGCAAGAGAAAAACATTTAGGTTCATTGTACTAGGTGGTAACAAGAGTTCGCCAATTATACCAAGGATTATTATACCTATCCTTAATTTTTTTTATGTCATACCAATACATTATTGTGTTTTTATACCTTGGATACCATCTACATAATTCATTACTTTATGCCCGTGCGGGCATAAAGTACACATTATGGCCCGCGCGGGCATAAAGACGCAAAAAACAGTTTTCAATTAACTTATTCTTTATTAACAAAATATAAATTTACGCTTATAAACATATTATTTTTGTCAAAAAATTATGATGTTTGCACACTGATGACAATTTGCGAAGTGACACTTTTTCCTAGGTATTTATTATTCACAACTAACTGGTATGACATAAAAGTTTGTATGCACCACGGGTACTAATAGATAATATACCCTCGGGCGACTTACAAACCCTCGGGCCAGAGGCCCTCGGCTTTGTAAGACTGTCGCCCTCAGGGCATAATCATCTACTTAGTACCCTTGATACATAAATAACTATTATAGGGTAGGTAGTAACTCTGGTAGTAAAAGATGCAAATAAGTTGTGTGTCTCATTCTAAGTAAGTAATAAACTGTGAAATACCCGACGAAAAAACAGAGTTTTTAGTACATTTAACGGATATCTTTGTCTAATTGGTGAAAAAACCCAAGAATAAAAGATAGCCCGTATAATCTGAATGCACACTTCTCGGTCTATGACAATCAAATACAAACACAACAGGCCTGTTCTCACAGAAATCACAAACCAGTCGGTGCAAATTTCATTGGTTGAAAATAGTCAGAAAATTGTTTTTTGCCGATTATTTTTTTTTTTTTTTTTTTTTTACGGATATGCGCACTCGCAAGGAAATGTCCTATCATGCTCGAGAAGCGGCAATTTGCACCAATCAAAAACGCTCCGACTGGTTTGTGATTTTGATTTCTGTGAGAACAGACCTTGGTATATGTTACCGAGTTTTGACTTGACAAATCCACATCAGCTAGACAAAGATAGTACAATACTTTATTAAGACGCAGTCATGTTTTGGAATGATTTACTTATGAGAAATTTGACATCCTCACATTTTTGGGACTCAGACGTCACAGTTCTAGCCCGCAGTTTTTAATTTCAAAAATAGGTGTTTTTTAGAAAATAAGTATGCAGAAATGTAATTAGAATGGCTAACACAATAATTCAAAGGTTCTTGATAAACGTGAAAGTGGCCTATTCTGGTTGAGTGGAGGAATTGCCAATGTTCAAACCTCAGGTTAAACTTTCCACCTACATATATCCTAGGTGTGTGCATATTATATTTTAATATGTAATTTCTACTCAATAAAGCGCTCGTTAAACTGGTTATTATTATCCTTGTTTTGAAATAAATAGATGAAATATTCACTAATAGAAAGTCTCCAATGTGTATCAATTATTTGAGTTTTGCAATCAAGAATCAAGGAATGCTATTATCTACATCTATATAAAACAAAGGATTAAGTACAATTATGTAAAAATTAAACTCTCATTTCACTCAGGCCCTTGTTGATGGGGGGTAAAATCTTTATATTACTCTTTCTACTAAACGTTATAAATAATAAATAGTCAATTGATTATATAGGTAAATAGTCGAGTAAATACTTCATGAATCTTACCTTAAAACAACCTCCCATGTACAAAGTGTCCGGGGGTCCAAAAATAGCGACTTCCCATTCAAAAAGATTGTCCTCATTTACGAGTTTGACGCGAAATCCTTCAACTGGTTCTTCCTGTAGACTTTTATATTCGACGGACAAAGCACGTAAAGCACTGCAATTCGCTCTCGGTGCTGCCATTTTATCTCACAATCACAAAAGATTGTTCAATATAAATTAAATGAAAAAAAAAAAACTGTTTATTATAGGAAACGATTTCTCCTGCTGAGCAACTTTTCCTGTGTCCCTCAAATGAATAGAAATGACGCCATTAAACACATCAGAATTAAAAACAGAAATTTTTGTTTGCAGTTATTGCACTTTTAATTTACGTTTTATTGACGTTAAATGGACTTTTGTTTAGGGGTATTTTTGAACTATTAAACTGGTGTAAACTGAAAATAATTCAACAAAAACAAAGAACTTTTGTCCTACCACGCACTGTTTTTCTCTACCTCTTTCACCACCAGTTCAACACTTTCACAATCAAGTGCCACAAGGATTATGATTGGACTGCAGGAAATTAATATGTTTTGTCCTCGTCTCACCTTTTAAACGAATCAGGGAAAATCAGCTGAGGACATACGTTGTCCTTTTCTTAAAGAGTCAATATTGGACGGTGTTGTCAAGTGTACAGAAAATTCGTCGAATTCATGCAAAATCCTATACAAAGAGATTAATGTTAATTCGTGAAAATACTTTTGCATGACAGCATTATAAAATAAATAAATATACATTCATTAAATTTAAATATTCAAAGCACATCCTGTAAATTAATTTAACGATATAGGAGTGTTGTCATTGTTCAAATAATTAATAAGTAAATGGAAAAGGCAAAGACGCAAAATGCTAAAATATAAAGTTTTTATTTATTTCACCTTCAAATGCAAATGAGCTGGCAACAATGGACAGGAAACTATTTTTTGTTGAGATTAGGTTAGAGGAAGCCTTATCGATATTCATAGCTATCGATACGATATTCTTCCAAAACTTCTATTTCTTTTTCAGTTTATAATACATGAATGCACCCGCGGATCGACAATATTTTAGTCAGAGTCAGAATATTATTAAGGGCGGGTATTATAAAACTTCTTTGAAAGTTAACTTCTGAAATTACATGTAATTCAAAAAGTTAACTTCAAGTTAACTGTCAAAGCAGTTTTATAATACCCGCCCTAAATAAATTATAGAGTAACCTAAACAAAAATTTTGTGACCGATAACAACGACGTTCGAAATTTTTTCAAGATCCTTATCGATATGATAAATTCGTATCGATGTCACCATCATCGAAGGCGTATCGATAATTCGTCTTGGTTTGCAGGAATCTGTTATCCAAACCCGAACAGGCCCATTATAAACCTTTTTAATAAATCATGTTATTTTATTGTTATGGAAGCCCTAATAAATCAACTACAAAAAAAAAAACAAGAATATCTCCTTTTTTTCTTGTATTTCTTTAGCAATAAAAACAACTATCAAAATTTAGTCTTAACAAGTTGTCTTAAAATGTGTGAGCTATCAAACAACAAATTAATTTCAGAATTCATCATCAATAGGCCTAAATTGGTTTAGTAGATTGATAGTCCAATCGCTGTCGACGCCTTTAGTAAATTCTTTGATGAAACGATAGTTGCAAATCGAAAGTCTGTCTTGATATTCGGGCAAAAGTCCCATATTGATTGGCGGTTCTTCGCCTTGAGATCTCATTCTTGACAGACCTCTCATTACGTGGTAGACCATTGTGATTTCGACAAAACGCTTTTGGGCTTCTGAACCGTCTTGGTCAAACATAATTCCTATCTGAAATAATTGTGTAAAATAGGTATATTATATATAAGATAACTAATTCTATTACTTGATATGGAAATGAAAAATAAACATCATCCGCTTTGATTGGTATCAAATCCCTTTGGCCCAATGTCATTTTTGAAACTTTTTCTTGCAATGCAGGTATAATCTCTGCAGCAACTAAACCTTCTAGATCTTGTCCATCAGAGATTTTATGGGATACTACCTAGTAAAAATAAAAATTGGTTGGGTATTTTTATTAGGAAAGCTGTATAATATAAACTATAATACAAGTCTTACCTCAACAGCCTTTTTAGAGCCTTGTATAAAATCTGGAAGACTAAATTCTTCATCAAGATAAGGCTTGATAATAAGTGTTGTTAAAATGAGGTTTTTAATAGATTTCAAAAGTGAGGGCCAAACAATAATAGGAAATTCCATTAAAGGTGGCAGTTTGTGTGACGGAGTAGGTCGTTTCTCCTCATTTTGTTGTTGACAATAACATCTTTTCGAAAACGTATCAAAACTTGAAATTTGACTTGCAAAAAGCTTTTTTTGTGGCGCTAAAAACGTACTATACTGTGTGGCAGTGTTCTTCGTGCATAGAACATCTTGAAAGAAAATATTGTTTAGGAATTTATTGCATTTGGAATTTTGAGTAAACGTTTTTAATAGGTTAATGTTCATGTTTAAAAAATAAATAAAAATAAAAATGGCATCTTGAAAAACTTGGTATTTGACATGACAGACAGTTGACACTGATGGCAGGTGCAGGTAGTTGTGCTCGAACTGCGTGCTACCATTTTGATCCGTAATTTGAGTTGTTCTCAGCGCACTCCAACCGTTCAGGGTTGGCGTTCCAGAGTAAATAGAGTAATGACGTTCACGTATCGTTCAAATATTCCAGCTCGAGTAAGGAGATTTTATAGAAAGTAGAAAAACCAATTCACCGAATTTTTCATCGATATCCATATCGTTTTTTAATGCAAAATCTGGATTCAAATCATCTTTGTTTCAATAACCCAAAATTTACCGGTTTCTTGGGTATACTTTGAAGCTTACTCTAGATTATGTAAAAAAAAAACGAATTCTGAGCGGAGGAGCGGAGTTTAAACTGTTTAAAACCCATTCCGAACAGTTCTCGAACTATACATCCAAATGGTTCTAGAACTATAACTCCGGACAAAACCAACGATCTTGCATCGCAGACTCGTGTTCTAAATCGAACCAACTTCTGGTTCGATTTGAAACTCGCACTATCCCGCGAGTTTCCTCTTTGCTCTTTATTCTATCTGTTTTAAGGGCTGATAGAGGAAGATGCAAAAACACTCATATTGCACAGGGTTGCGTTTAGAAATAGCACTCTGGGTGTGGGAGTGACCCTAGAGTAACTCTAAACCGTTCATAAATTAGCCGCTTTCCAGCTGACGCTTTTGAGCACGCAATCGAGCTTTTGCGCGCGCAAATGCTTCAAGTGCGTGTTCGTGTTCCAGCCGTACTGCGCTTCGAGAGCTGCTAACTTTTGCGTTTCAAACACAGACCGCTGTGCTGCACCGTGCTTGAAGCACACAGCTGGAAAGCGGCTATTAAAAGGTGCTCAGAGCTTCACGGTCGAATCGTTCAGAAATCGAGAGTTAACGTGCCCAGAGTGCGCACAAATTACCCCACTCAGGGACTGGTTTGATAAACGCCCCGCGGTTTTTACCGGGCTTGACGTTGACAATTTACCGCAACGCCCCAATACGTTCAGAAATTGCGCACCCAGAGTTCACTCCAATTGATGACGTCAGGACACTCTGACAAACCACTAGTTGTATTTTTTTCAAGAGTTTAAAACATTAGAGCTACTCGCTCCGGTGCTAGTCGACCCCGATTTGAAAGGAACAGATACGCTGCCTTTCATGCATTTAAATCGTTTGAGTCGGGCTTGAGCACTCCAGGTGCAATAAACACTTTTCGAAAGGTATAAGCGCATAACGCCCCGGAGCTGTTCCGGAGCTCCTCCGGTGTGAAAGGAATACAACTACTACTCTAGGGCGAGTTCAGGAATGACACACCCAGTGTGAGTGTGACACCGGTGCGACGCCCTAGCTGTTCACAAATGCTAGACGAAGCTATGGGCCAATGGCCAATTGTCAATTCAGGCACACCACGGCACACCCATAAATTCGCACTCGCACCCTGTGCGTGATTTCTGAACTCGGCCCTACCTTCACACTCCATTTCTAAACGCACTCCTCTATGAACCTTCTTTTTGACATTTATTTGACAGTGACACAAAGGACGCGCATGCGCGCCAAACGCAAACAGCAAGCACCAAAAGAAAAAAAAATTGTTGTTTGGAATTTGTGTTTTATGTTATTGTCAGCTATTTATTCTTCGAAAAAGTAAGTTAAAACTGACTTAAAATATCCCTTTATTTCTCTTGAAGTTGGTCGCTTATCTCTATAAAAAATATCCTTATTTTTAGGTCAGTATCGGGACAAAATGGGCCCCAGACTCAAGCATATCGAAATGGAAAATTTCAAATCGTACAAGGGACGCCGCATTATCGGACCCCTCAAGCCCTTTAACGCGGTAATTGGACCGAATGGATCAGGTATAATGAATGCTATTTGAGTTTTTAGTGATTTTAGTTTGCTGTTAACAGCATTCAGTTTGTTTCTCTTCAGTACATAGCTACTTAACAAACTTTCAACTTGGCCTTATTATTAGTACTGTTACTAACACTGTTATTTTTATCCTTTTTTGCATTCTTTAATCTAGTGGCATTTAACTTCTGTTTCCTTTTTCCAGAGGTTTAGTTTATCTTATTTCTCACACTCTTGCAGTTTTTTGTCTTATAGTTTAGTTGCCATGCTCCCTTGCTCTTACTTTCAAACTTTTATGTGATTAATTTTCTTATTATTTTGATAGTAGAGTAGATAGATATATAGATAAGTGAGATGATTCTTGGGATGCAGTCTTGGCATTTAGGTAAAATTTAAGAATAATCTCACTTATTAAACAAGCCAGTCATCGCTATATAGATAGATAGATAATTTTTTCCATTTTTAAACAAATATTTACAATAATAGATACTGCAATTAGTTCAAAACAGGTCCAGGTTATACGCAGCATACATTTCATTATTAAAATATTTTGAAAGTATGTGTGGAAAAAAAAAACAAAAAACCAAAACACACATATGAATGAAAACAAAACATTTTACATTGAATTATTGAAATTAACACTCAAAGTAGGTACCTTATACAAATAAAATTCCCTAAACCTAAAAAGCTATATCACTCAGCTTGCTATAATATACTTCCATAGTCTCTCGATGCTTCTATATCACACAGAAATTTGAAGAGATTTTTTTTTAAACAGTCAAAGATTATGTCCCTAACTTTCTTTGGTAATTGGTTGCACAGTTTGATGCAGGAATTAAAGCATTTTCTTTCAGTTAATGTAAGGTGATGCATGGGAATATTATGTGAGACATTAACTCCATGAGTACTATAGAGGTCTGTTCTCACAGGAGTCTCCGACAGTTTGCAACCTGTCAGAAACAATCACTCAGCTAATTTAACGATTTTTTTTTAATTGATAACCTATTTGACTTATTGTACTGACGTCGGCATTGAAAACATGTATGGGCGAGGCTTACTGACAGTTTGCAAACTGTCAGAGACTTTTGTGAGAACATACCATAGAAAAGTGATTTATATTCTTGATATAGGCCGAGTTCGTTTTTGTCATCTTTTCCGTCGATTTGCTCCGAAATTTTGACAGGCACGTGACTGGATAAGACAGTTTCAAGTTATAAATCACGTGCCTGTCAAAATTTCGGAGGAAATCGACGAAAAATATGACAAAAACGAACTCGGCCATAGAACGCTCACTTCTGTTGTAGTCGTTCAGTGACATTTCCGTCGGTGCTGCCATAGCGGTGTAGTCATTGAACTAATATTTGGCGGGCCGTTTGAATCTTGGTTTCAAATGACTCGTTTGACATTTCAATTATTTCAAAATAAAACAGTGCTCCAAAACTTCATAAACTAAAATTTTATACATTTTATTTTCATATATTTGTGAGAATCACTTAATGAATAAAATAGTCTATAATCTAGATGATTTGGCGTATCTGACTCATAAGCTAACTGAAAAACTTTCCAATTTGCTTTTTGAAAATGTCCATTTTTCCATTTGAATGACTGTCAAGTCATTTATAATTCCCTCGAGCATGTATTATGGAGCATCATACAGTGGCACTAGGTTGTTTATCTCCAACAAAACCAAAATTTCTGTTTCTGTGTTGTTTTTGATGTAGATTTCCCTGATCTGTGGCTGCAATTCGCTTTTGACCGATTTATTTTTTGCCGCCTGGTCACACATTGTGGCAACAACTCTTAAACCGGCTGCTTGTGATGCACTTATTAATTCTTTCACAGTCTTGGAATTCAAAACAATCAATGATGATGCACTCAGCAAATTAATTCAGATGACATATGCATTATATTATGATGTCAAATGAACCTGCGTTTTTATGACTGGTTTTTATATCCACCATTCTATGTCGGTCATTGTCATTTCCTATCCAGTAAACAAAGATAGCTAACTCATCGGTGAAGTCACAGATTAGAATAAAAACGAGGGGGACGTTGAGAAACGGCGATATGGGCGCACAGCGGTGTAGTCATGAACCAAAACAAAAAGTGGAGGGGATGAATCCAGTGAATGTTCTATTTAAGAATTTATAAATCACTTTTCTATGGAACATACCTTATGACTATTAATCTGGGAGTTAACGACATATTTCATTGTACCATTTCCGCAAGCTTCATTCTTTTTGTATGTGTTATGCGTGTAGTATTATGATAGTAATATGAACGTCTGCCGGCGCACCAACACGACAGGGGGTTACAGGAGGGTTACAATTACAGCAAAAAATTCACGAAAAAAACTTATAGCCGCATAAGCGAAACTTATTGTACGTATTAGTAGAAACATAGAAAGCTCAGAAAATATGGTTTGCCACCCAAATTCCACAACAAAAGTCATCTGCCACCCACAAAAGTAGAAAATTAAAAAAAAATTATACCGGCAAGGCTGAAATTATTTATTTTTACAGTGAGTTTGACAAGTGTCAAAAAGAGAAAATAAATATTCCAAGTGAAAATTTTCATTTCCATTCTGAGTGTACGCGATGAATCCTTCTATAATAGCATTAAGAACTCTAGAACATTATACTTGATCTTTTCACAATTAATTTTGGTTAGCCTTACAAAAAAAAATTAAATAAATAGGAATAAGAGAAAAATGCAGCTTCCTAGCGGTGGTGCTCGGGCACTGCATTCCGAACCCAACTTCATAGGCTTGGCAGACAATCTTCGTTATATCTTATCCGTGGCAGACTATTATGTTTGTGTTCGTTTCCATAAAAAGAAGTATTTTAATTAATTTCAGCCTTGCGAGTATATTTTTTTTAAAATTTTTTTTTGCGCTTACTTATGTGGGTGGCAGGCGACTTTTGTTGTGGAATTTAGGTGGCAGACCATATTTTCTGAGCTTTATATGTTTCTACCAATACGTACAATAAGTTTCGCTTATGCGGCTTTAAGTTTTTTTCTTTAATTTTTTGCTGTAATTGTAACCCTCCTGTAACCCCCTGTCGTGTTGGTGCACCGGCAGACGTTCATATTACTATCATATACTACACGCATAACACATACAAAAAGAATGAAGCTTGCGGAAATGGTACAATGAAATATGTCGTTAACTCCCGGACTATATGGCTGACTAGGAATCTATCAAAGATATGTGAATTTTTTTTTCGCAAATAAAATTCTTCCAAATATTAAAACCACAAGCAGTGTGAGAAGATTTGCAGATTTGGAGAGATTGTGGCAACTGCTTAGTGATTGAGCTTGTTAATTTTCCCAAGGGCCATTTTTTAATTTTTGAATACAGTATTTGAATTTGAAGGGCTTTCCCAAAAAATTATACCATATTTAAGATATGAGTAGAATATTCCATTTTTCAATGTATCAAGGTTTGAAGGTTAAGCTAAAACCCTCAATGCATAACATGATGAAGAAAGCCTTTCTAGTAGACATTCAACATGATTTTGAAAATTTAGGCATGAATCAATGTTTATACTTTACACCCAACAACTTACGATTGCTTACAGGAATGCAGTTGTTTTGTAACCTTATGCTATCAGGCATATTTCTTTTATTTCTATATGTTTCGAAAAACACACAATGTGTCTTTTGAGCATTTAATCCTAGCCTATTTTCAATGGACCAATTTTCCAAACACCTGAAATGGTATTCACATGAATCAAGCAGATCTTCTATAGCGAGTTCTAAAGATTTTGAGTGTAGAATTACATTCATATCATCAACGTAATTTACAATCTTACAATAGGGAACTTGCAAGTGAACTAAAATTTTCCAAATTTGTTTCAAATCGATAGTTTATACTGCACAATATTAATATGACCAGTTTTTATTTAACTGATATCGCCTTTGTTACATAAAAAATAATACTTTTGAAATAAAAAATTTCCCGCCAAAACAATGCTTCCATTTCCATGATGGCTTCCTTTTTTGACGTCACGATTCTGTAAACAAACCTGTCAATAGGGAACTTGCAAGTTAAAAAAGTTACAAAAGCAGTCCTTTGCAATATTCTTCATCCATTAGGATAATTTTCACCGGAAGCAAGCTTTAACACACTTGAATAACACAAAAATATAGCAATGAGTCAGCAGGAGTTGGTTTGCCGAGTTTGTTGTTTACAAAATCTTGATGTCACGAGCGCTGTCATATTGAAACCTCGTGTTTCCGCGCCAAAGTTTTTGAATTGAATTTGAATAATTTTTTTTGTACAACGTATAAATTAAAATCGAAAAAAAAACTATTTAATATTTCATCACTAGAAGTATCTTAAAAAAAATAAATTGAGAAATATGAAAATTCCCTATTATAGACCTCAATATAGGCATATCGTTTAAAAATATTATAGGGCCAAGAATGCTTCCTTGTGGTATACCCAGATTGTTTATTTGTCTTTTTGAAATTCTTTCTTCCCCCTCTCTTTTAACTTTTACTACCTGCGTCCTATCTTTCAAATAGGATTTTTATCCACTGGTAAGGTCGGCCCCTTATGCCATAATTATACATCTTTGACAATAAAAGTTCATGATTGAACTTGTCGAACGCGTTGGAGAGGTCCAAAAAAAGAGCACAGACTTCGCAACCGGCCTCCAAACACTGGTTCAATAAAATCCTGTATAGCAGTGTTAATGGACTGATCCTTTAGAAATCCATGTTGGAAGGGATGCAGAGTATTATGCTGTACCAGAAAACCCATTAATCTATCATACATAGCTTTTTCAAATGACTTCGAAAAGGATGATTGTGAACTCGATTGTGAAGCTATCAGTCTATAGTTTGACAAAACTTCTTTGTCACCTTTTTTAAATACTGGTACAATAGTTGATTTTTCAAGATTATCAAAGTCCAAAACACAGCAATAATTTATTCCACGTAAAAATACACTCTGACACTAATTACTTTAATAACTAACTCAACAATTGAACTCTTTACAACAATAATCACTATTTAAATCGTATCACAGTTAAACCGAAACTGAAACTTAAAAACTACAAAACAATAGCGGCCTTTATATATCCCTAAATCTTTTTTTGTACAATCTAGAATACAAACGATAACTCTTCTTCTCAAAAATACCGTCAACATCCCGAATCTTAATTATAATTATAATTGGATTCTTGACATCCTGGCGGCGTTACAATATTTATAATTTTTTCCAAGAAAAAAAACGCTTATTTTTGAAAATAGAATTTTTATATTGCTGCGAAAACGCGGGCTAGGACTGTAAGTATGAATATAAAGAGTTTTTAGGCCCACATCTTGACCCGCATATGACTTTTGAAGTAAAGTAGAGACATGTTGTGATTATCTGAAATCCCAATCCATCCACAGTCCCAGATTTCTACAGTGGTTGGACATATTTAGGGTGGTATTATTAAGACAAATCTAAAAGTCATTGTGATTTATTTACTGCACTCTATAGCTGCCATAAACCAACATTTTTGTCTTCAAGCTATTCATTTTTAAGCTGTGGGTGTTAGAGAGTTCATAAATAGTTTCCAGGTCGCTATTAATTTTTTTGATGGCCAGGCAGACGTTACCGATGGGAATAGAGTAGTATAATTGCTGATCATCAGCAAACTGGTGCGAGTTACAGAATTTAAAGGAAAAATGAAAAATCAGCTGCATAGATGGAAAATATTGGAGGGATTAAAATGCTCTCTTGGGGAACATCTCTATCCAAAGTAATAAAATTAGAATAACTGCCACTGAAGATATATGTATGTTCAATTAATTTTAAGCATGGCTTTGTCAACAAGTACTATGTATTTAGACAAATAAAGCTGCTTTTGAATTTGAAAGAAACCCTTTGCGTTCTAAACAAAAGATACGATTTGAAAATATTGATGCTGTTCCGATTAAATCCAAAATATTTTAGTTACTAAAGAATTGAATGAACTATGGTAATGCTTTGCTAATTGCTATAGTCAAGCAAGATAAGCACAATTTGGAATTTTTGGTCAAAAGTCGAGAGGATGTCGTCTGTTACTTTTAGTAAAGCCGTTGTTGTACTATGAGACGCCCGAAAACCAGATTATGTAGGAGAAATGATTCCGTTGGCCTGGAGAGGCTTCCTTATTTGAACTACAACAATCTTTTCGAAAACTTTGGACAGAATAGAGAGTAAACTCATAGGGCGGAAATCAGTCATTTGACTAGGGGACGGCTTTGTTAGGAATAATTGTCCTTTTGCATCCTTCCAGGCTTTAGGAAAAGGGCCAGTAGATAAATAGGCATTTATGAATAAGAGTGAGGTGATAGGTATTTTTTTCTGTGTTAAGGCAGGATCCAACAAAATTTCATTTCTATATTCGGAGAAATCAATGTCAGGATCCGATTTTCTATAGTTACCAGACCTGTCTCATAGTTGCCTCATTTCCGCTCTTGTGGAATGGAATTACTCTTGCCAGCTCAAAACACGAAGAAAAGACATCAGACTCCCAAGATAAATTGATTGCCTGAACCAAAATATCCAAAACTTTGTCAGGCAAATTTGTAAAAAAATTATAGACAGGCCATCATCATTCGCAGAGCTTTTTTTATTTTTAATACCTGATGTGATCTGTTTTAACTTTCCGAGGGTAGTAGAAAAAAAGTTAAAGGATTTATTGACCCCAGCATTATTTGGAAAAAAAAACTAAGTAGATCAGTGTGTTAAATAATATTTTTGGTCAGGTTTTCTGCCATAGAACTCTAAAATTTGTTGATTGTTAGGAGACATGTCCCTATATATTTTTATAATCGACCAACTTTCCCTTTGTTTGTTGGATGCATTTGCAAGGCTATTGAAGTAATGTAAATCTTTGGCTAACTTTACGAGTTTTCTTAGATTAATCAGTAATTGTTAAAATACGTGTGAAAATGTGGATTATCTGTGAATTTTTTAATATGTATAGTGAAGATTCTCAGAGAACACCTTAAGTCCTTTGATAAACCAGGGTTTTTTTATTTAATAATTTGATTTTCCTGACAGGAATTATTGCATAAAAATTTTGCATTATTTTATTGTGAAACTCCCCAATAGAATCCAGAGGCAAAAAAAGACTCCACCAGGAAGCTTGATTACATAGTCGGTAAAACTTACCATAGTTATTATTATTATTATTTATTATTATTTGCTTGACAATAAAAAGCGGTTTAACACCGATGAGTCTATCGTATCTTCTCTGTCCAATGCTCTGCGTCGTTTCTTTTAATTGGGTTTAGAAGTAGTGTATTAGGGTGGAGTTAAGTTCAGATAGGTTTCGATCCAATCTATTCTTGAAAATGTTTTTGTTAGGCGCGTTTATAGTATCCAGGTTTAATGCATTCCACGGGTATACTACGCGGTTGCATAAGAAGTTTTTTCTACAAACGTCACTAAAAGTGACATTTTTAATGGATGCTGTCAGTGTCTAAAATGCCATTTTATGACACTGGTATTAAAAGTGATTACTTTTAGCACTGAGTGCTAAAAGTAATCACTTTTAGTGCGTTTGTAGAAAAAATAGTGTATGATATTCGTGCTAAAAGTGATGTTTTCTCTTTCTTGAGCTTCTTGTCGTGTCCTCTGAGGTTTTTATTCATATTTTGTTGAAACATGTCTGCCATATGCAGTTCTGGGAAGTAGTGTCCACACAGGACCTTATAGGTCTCTATTAGGTCGCCTCTTTTTCTTCTTTCTTTCAAAGTTGTTAAGTTAAATCTTTGCAATCTGATATCATATGGAAGATTATGCATTTCAGTTGGGATTCTTGTGATTCTTCGTTGCATACGTTCAAGCAGCTCTATATCCTTGCAGTTGTACAGGTTCCAGACTGTGCGTGCTTACTCGACTTTGGGCCTTATGTAGGTTGTATAGACTTTTTTGATCATTTGGATAGGGTGATTGGCAAAAGCCGTTTTTACTAGGTACATTAACTTCGCAACTTGGCCTATGTGTGTTTCCCATTTAAGATCTTGGCTTATGTGCATGCCCAAATCTTTTTGTTGGTTAACATGCTCCAGCTTGGTTCTCTTAATTTTGTAGTCAATCATCAGGTTATTTTTTCCTAAATGCTGCACTGTACATTTCTGTCCGTTCAGTTTCAGCTGCCACGTGTAAGTCCATCGTTCGGTCCTCTTTAAACTGATCCAATTGCTTCAATGGGTTGCAGAAGAGTTTTTTGTCATCTGCAAAGGATACTGTTACTTTTTACACTTTTGGTTAGGTTTGCTATATAGAGTATGAGGAGGATAGAAGCCAACACTGATCCCTGCGGCACACCGCTGAATACGGGATGTAGTTCTGAACAGATTCCATTGACCTTGACTGCATATTTTATCTTCATTTAAGAAAGGAGTCACTCCATTGAAGATAGGATCCTCTAATCCCGTAGTGCTCTAGGTGGTGGAGAAGTCTTTCATGTGGAACGGTGTCGAAAGCCTTTTGAAAGTCGAGATACACTATATCTACTGGGTTTCCTTCATCAATTTCTTTGGTCCAATAATTTACACAATTCAAGATGTTGGTGGTGGTTGATCTTTGTGGTAGAAATTCATGTTGTGACGGTGGAATAATAGAACTTTCCAGTAGAAAACTTGTGATATCTTTTGCAAGTATTTTTTCCATTACTTTACAGAGTGTGGATGTCAGGCTTACTGGTCGGTAGTTTACAGGATGATGTTTGTCTCCGCTCTTAAAAATTGGGATTATGATAGCCTGGGTCCAAATTTTTGGTAGGATGCCTGCTGTTAGCGAACTGTTTAATATTTTTACTAATAGAGGTGTTAGGGATTCCGCACATCTTGTTAGGAAAATATCTATTGTTGTCAAAATGCTTTCAAATTCTCCATACTTCTTGACACTTGGTTCGATATCTCCTGCTAAGTTCTTGATGTATTCATTAATGGGTTTATAGTTAACAATGTGAAAGTTTCGCTTTTTTATTTTCTTCGTTGTATTTTGTAATAATCTCAGCAGCACTACACCCGCTATAGTAATGTGATCGCTTTTCCCAAGTGGTGCTTTAGTGTCTATCAATGACATACTTTTTTTGTCGCTTGTGAGGAAAAGATTCAGTAGAGAACTTTGATTATTTCTAAATGTTGTATCAAAGGTTACAACTTGAAGACATCGCTATTCTTTGTAACACATTAGAAAATCGGTGGCTTTTTGACATGGTTTATTCTATCTTAGAGATCTCCAACAAATCTCTGGGTGGTTGAAATCGCCGCTCACAAACACTCCGTCATTCTCCTCAAAAACTTTCTGTAGTAGATTGTGAAGAACTGTATTTTTATCGTGGGTGGTTCTTCCTGGTCTATAGATACATCCCAATAGAAAGTTTTTATCTGATATTTCTACATCCAAAAACAAAGCGTCCACAGTTTGACCAGCTGAAAATTCTGGCAATGTTACCTTCATTACTTTTAATGTTTTTATTTGATTTACTAATATAATCTGCAGTATTTACAAGGTATCATTTTTCAACAGCATTTTCTTCACTATTGAAAAGTTAGCAAAAATCACTTCTTTTTAGGAAAATCCAATTTTATGGATGCTATCAGTTTTGTTATGGGAGAAAGAACGCAAAGTTTGAGAGTAAAACGTTTGAGCGACTTAATTCATGGAGCAGCTATTGGTAAACCTGTATCTAGAAGGTAACTATTAGTATTGGTAATTCATAGTTCATTGTGTTCCTAATATAAAGCTTAGTAAAGGGAAGTTTTACTAAAAAATCCATCATTATAAAATCTTTTAGTAAAGTGGTATGACAACTCAGCAACACAATCATGCCACTTTACCCAATAAAGATTTTGAATGTAGTAAGAGTCCCATTGAAATCATAAATGCAAAAAAAAATATATAATAATTTCAATTTTTTTTTAGTGCATCTGTAACTGCAGTTTTTAGTTTAGGCGATGGTTCAGAAGCTGAAATAGCGTTTCAGCGATCTGTACACAACTCTTCGTCTGAATTTAAAGTTAACGGCTCGGTATGTATTATTCCTAGAAATATATATTTACTGTATGCATTGTGCTTTACAGAACAATATTAGTAAAGCTGTATAATATTGTTTAAGCTGGCACAAAAATAATATCCTACTTCAGCGTTTTTTACTACAGCTGTAGGGACACAGATGTAGTAGTGTTTTTGTATTTGAATGTGACTATCAAAAAAGTAATCATATAATAATTTTAAGGTTGTCACTGGTCCTGAGTATTTAGCTGAATTAGAAAAATTGAAAATAAATGTGAAGGCTAAAAATTTCTTGGTATTCCAAGGGGCTGTTGAATCAATTGCAATGAAAAATCCTAAAGAAATGACAGGACTTTTAGAAGAAATTAGTGGGTAGGTTTACTTATAATAAAAACATTAAATGATTATTTAAATAATTCAATATCAACTTAGATCAGGAGCATTGAAAGAAGAATACGAAAAACTAAAGCAACAGATGCAGAAAGCTCAAGAAGAAATTAATTTTGCACTACAAAAGAAGAAAGGTATAAATGCTGAGCGCAAGGAAGCCAGAATGGAGAAAGAGGAGGCTGATAAATATTCAAGATTTAAAGACGACTTAGTAAGCAAAAACTTACAAATCTAAAATCATGATTTACTGTTCCATATTAATTTTTTTAGAATGAGAAATTAGTTGAACATCAATTATTTAAAGCATATCACAATGAACGGAACATGAAAATCCGTGAGCAAGAGCTAAAGTCCAAACAAAAAGATTTAGAAAAGGTTGAGAAAAAAAAGGAAAAGTTGGAAGATATTTTAAAGGACAAGAAAAAAGAACTTGGTAAATTGAACAGGTAATAGTTGAAGCTTTCCCAATTAGAATTTTTTAATAAACTGATTATCTGTTTCAGGGAATTGGCGAAAATTGAACAAGATATTCGCGAAGCCGAAGTAGAAATTTCCAAAAAGAAACCTATGTTTATAAAGGCAAAGGAAAAAGTAACCCATTTCCAGAAAAAAGTAGATGGAGCCTATAAAACTCTAGATCAGGCAAAAAAGGCCCATGAGGCTCATACAAAAGATATACGAAAACTAGAAGAGGAATTAGCAGAAGTTGAAAAATCTAAAAGCGAGTATGAAGAACAGATAGCTGGCGAATCTCAGAGTCAGGTTTGTTGGGTTTAAATCTAAATTCTAAAAATATTTCAAATTTCACATCATTTTAGGGCAGAGATGTTCATTTAGAAGATGCCCAAATCCGAGAATACCACAGGCTTAAAGAAGATGCAGCCAGACGTTCAGCAAGATACATGCAAGAACTCGATTCTGTTAACAGAGAACAAAAAGCCGATCAAGATAGACTAGACAATGTATCTAGATTAAGAACTGATGCTGAAAACAAGCATTCACAAAAAACTCATGAAAAAGAAGAAATGGTGAAGAGGATTGATAAATTAGCTGAACATATTCGGACCAGCGAGCAAGCATTGCATGATCAAAAGAAATTACTAAAAGACCTTCAGCAAGATGTAGGTTCCTCTAAGAATAAAGTTAGTGAGGTGCAGAAGCAGCTAGACGAAGTTTTAGAACAATTAGGGGACGCTAGAACTGATAAACACGAAGACACTAGAAGAAAAAAGAAGCAGGAAATCGTAGATCGTTTCAAGGCAAATTATCCTGGAGTTTTCGACCGTATGATCAACATGTGTCAGCCAATTCACAAACGCTACAATGTAGCCATCACAAAAGTCTTGGGCAAATATATGGAAGCCATTGTAGTAGACAATGAACACACTGGACGCCAGTGCATCAAATATTTGAAAGAGCAAATGCTGGATCCTGAAACGTTTCTTCCTTTAACTTATTTGCAAACAAAACCAGTCAAAGATCGTTTACGTACCATCACAGATCCCAGAGGCGTAAAACTGATATATGACGTTTTACAATATGAACCAGCAGATATTAAAAATGCTGTCATGTTTGCCACAAATAACGCTCTTGTGTGTGAATCGCCAGAGGATGCTAGTAAAGTAGCCTATGAGCTGGGAGGACGTTACGATGCAGTTGCTCTCGATGGTACTTACTATCAAAAATCGGGCATTATTTCTGGAGGTAGTGTGGATTTGGCTCGTAAGGCTAAGCGATGGGATGAAAAACACATGGCCCAACTTAAAGCGCAAAAAGAAAAACTTACAGATGAACTGAGGGAGGCAATGAAAAAATCACGAAAGGAATCCGAAATGAATACTGTTGATTCGCAAATTAAGGGTTTGGATACTAGGCTAAGATATGCCAAAGGAGATATGGATACAACCGTAAGTTTATGCTATGTATTTATACATCTCAAGTGTTTGGGTACATAGGTATTCAATTGATGATCATATGAATGAGGAAAACACTTATGTGCTCTCATTACATTAGGTTAGGTTTGAAATCAGTGGGTCGATTGACCAGCCCTCCACTACTACCCTCGCTGGGTCTATTGTGGCTTATACCTCTTACGATCATTAGATCGGTAGAGTTTGTCTTATAAACCATAGTTCTTGGTAAAGTCTATGGTTGTGAATGGCAAGACTTGCCTGAAATGGTTTGGCTCCAGGTGAGCGTATCTGCAGCTTGCCAGCCTTTTCCTTTCCAGTGCTGGGCAGGTACATAGGATGTTTCTGTTTCGTTTCCACGCAGCAAAAGCGGCTGTCCGGAGAACTGCATAGACCAATCTTGTTTAAGTGGTAGATGAGGTTGAGACGACAGTGGCTGGTTAGCAGTCAGGTGACAATGCACAGGTCTTTTCTGCTCCATTCCAGGATCTGCTATGTGTGTAGTTTCTAGAGGATTCCTTCGGAGTGGGTAAGACCATCAGCGCTATTCCAGTGAGATTGGGTCTCGCCCTTTGCCCAGCTGGAAATAGTATTCTTAGCATTTAATATTGTGATGCGTAGAACCGGTTCCAGTCGTATGAAGCCGACTTCTGTTGCCTTTTTTTGCGAGGGAATCGGCTTTTTCGTTGCCTGCCCCCTGATGCCCTGGCACCCAGAGTAAGGTTACCCTGTTGTTGGTGCCTAGCAATGTAAGGGACTCGATGCAGCTCCTCACCAGTTTTGAAGTAATCCGGTAGGACCCCAGGGCTTTTAGCGCCGCCTGGCTATCTGACACAATATATATTAGATAATAATTCGTGTCCTCAAAAATTGTTATTAAATCTTGATTCTTCGGTTTAGGACGGAATAATTAAACACTTTTTCAGGACTAGCAAGGTTTTCCAATAAATTTACAAGAACCCTGGATGTCCATGGGTTGACAAACAAAATAAAATTAGGGACCAACACAGTGACAAATGAGCACAGAACAGATTGAAATTATTTGAAAAAAACAGTGCATCACTTCTCTTTGGTATTCCTTTAAACACAATATATATGTTTTTGTTTGTGGGTGGAGCAATCAATTAGCTCTCTGGTACACAGAATAAGGGCACATACTTCTGTCTGGTATATAGTATCATACATTCCGTCCGAGGTTGATTGAGAATTCAATCCTCGGTCTGCTACTGAAGACTCCAGCTTCAACACCAACACCATTAGGGTTTATTCGTCTCTCTCCGGAAAGAGGACTTCATAAGGTTTGTGCGTGCTTATTACCGTAGGAATGGAGTCTGAGATCATGTTCAGGATGTGGTGATTTCTAAGCTCACGCAGCAGACCCGCGTGATCCCAGACCCTTTCACCATTTGTCTGGTTTTCTAACGACAGAAGTTGGTAGGTGTCATTCCTCGCCTCCCACTTCAAACAAATGCGTAGAGGGGTATATTAAGGATAGTCTCCATCGCGAGCGTTGGCGTGGTTGACATAGCACCTGTAATGGCCACGCACTCCAGTCGCTGAAGCTTAGTTAGCTTTGCTCTAGCCGTTGTCTGGAGGGCTTTGGTCCACCAGACCACCGCTCCATACATGACCATTGGTTTTATGACTGTTTCATAAATCAATTCCATTTGCGGAGGAGGTTAAATATCTGCCATATCCCCCACCGGGATTGTGACCTGGGCTGTAGCCACATCTGATGTAGATGTACAGAATCCTGTTAACATAAATGATTTAATGTTAGATCTAATAAGAAGACCCGCCCTCGGTTTAGTGCTGGTGCTATGTGACAGTAACTTACCAGAGCAATTTCCTAGGCCGCTTATACGACCGTTACCGGAAATCCAGGGTTCCTGGTTGAACGCCAAGTCTATTTTTTCCAGGTCAAGAGGTCATCCAAGGACAAAGGATGCCGCTTTGCAATGCTGAAGATGAGCCTGGAGGGGGAGGAGACTTCTTCCTCCCGCTTCCCCTCGGCTCAAGGTTGGCTAGTCTCTGGCATCCTTTCTTCACCATCTTACTGGAGGAGGGTTCTTTACCCTTACCCCTTTGTATAGGCTTCTGTGAAGGCCTTGTAGCAGTAGTCTCTTGCTGAGGTGGATGGCCCACGCTCTTGAGGCTTCTTTTCCCCGATATTCTGTCCAGGTTCAGGTCTGGACCTCGGTCGGAAAAGCACCCTTCCAAAACCACAGTAGGGATGATAGTCCATCTCCTTGAGGCTATTCATGGACACATCGTCCACAGAAATGGTCCACATCTGACCAGGGCTTGCAGCCTCTCTGTGCAGAATGGTGCACTCTAGCGTTAGCAGGCCCCGGTTCATTTTGCGCAGGCGCGTTAGCACCTGCTTCCCCGTTAGTCTGGTGGATTCCACATCTTAGTCTGGGATGTATGCCATGCAGATATGCGGTTTGAGAATGTCGGCCCCCTGGACAAGCCTAAGACAGGCATCGCTCCAGGGACAAAGATTCCCCACAGTCTTCTCCATCCAACTGGCAGTTTCCTTATCGGCGCAGCTGAGGAGCATTAGTCCAGGCTGAATGGTGCAGCCCTGGAACCGGACTTGTGGCCCCTCTTTTCGCGGTTTCGTACGGGACTCCGCTCTTAAACATCCGGGCGAGCTGTTTTTTGGACGCTCCAGCCAGTTTGTACCTCTCATAAAAACATAAATTATAGTTTTACCTACGTTGTAGATAACTTCTTGAGTATACCTGAAAATTTCTTGAAAATCAAGTGGACTATGAAACAGATTTGGTTAGAGAATTTTGATCAAGAGCTGTCATAATCAATGTTGAGGCATTTTATTTGTTATTAAAGCCCTACAATGCCTTTTTGCGAAGGAAAAATGTCTGTACCATACAATGACCTACCATACATTTCACTTTTGATACATATCGGTTCAGAATTCCTATAATCTCTAAATGACTACATACATTGGTAATCCCAAGTAAATTGAGCTCTCATTTGGTGATATTTTAATCAAAATGTTTGAAATTCAAATCAAATCAAATCAAATAACGCTTTATTGTCTAAAGAAAAAACTCATTGACAAAGCCTAAAAAATATAAATTTAACCCTAAATTCTAAATTTTAGCAATACGCAATACAAAATAAATTATATACACAACTTAGGGCTAGTCAATTGTTCAAATATACTACAAATACTATTTCGATTAGATAAAATTAAGTTAAAATACAAAAATTTACACAAAAACAGGAATACTTTTTTAAAATCTCAATATAATAATTAAACAAAACAAACAAAGTAAAAATTAATACAGGGTGGGCCACTGAAAACTTACAATGGCTATAATTTTTGAACCAAAAAAGATATCAAAAAAATAAAAAATACGGTTTTTATAAAATCAAGGCGGAATACACATGACATATTTTTCAAACCACCCCGACCTACCCCTTAGGCGCCACCCCTACTCGCTTCAAAATCTTTAATAGCAACACCCCACTTGTGGCACCTTTTTGGAAAGCTCATGAAAAATGCTAAACGATGGTCATAAAATTTTTAGGGTGACATTGGAAAACTACCCGTCAAATGAAAAAAATTGGTAGAAATAAATTTTACAAAAAAAAAAGAATTTTTAGCATGAAATTAGAGATAGGAAATTGAAGCGACCCAGCTAAATTCAAATTACGTATTTTTCAAATCACTGCGACCCAGCCCTAGGCGCCACCCCCACTCATTTCAAATTCTAAGATTGCGGTACCCTAGTTGTGGCACCTCTATGGAAAGCTAATTGAAAATGTTAAACGATGGTCACAAGGATTTCAACCTAAATTAAATTACGGCTAAGTAGTGATTAAGAAATGTAGGTGTGACATTTTGAAAAATAGGAACCAAATTAAAAATGATCTAGATAATTTATTTTAACATTTTCCACCAATCCACAAATAAGAAGTTGCGGTAACGCAAATTCTTCCTTATCAGTTATTTGTTTACTTTTCTGTAGCAACCCGACCCACAGCAACAAAAAAAAAAACAAAATGCATTACTTACTGTCTTCTATCATTTTTCAAATAATTATTTTGCAAATTTAGTGACGATAGTTTCTACCTTTATTTAATTTACTTAGTTAAAACTTCGAAAAATGGTTTATAGTGTGGAAGAAAGAATTGAAATAGTTTTTCTTTATGGTGCTGAAGGTAGGTGCTATTTGAGAACAGCCCGTGCTTTCAATGAGAGAAATCCGGACAGAAACGTTAGTCACGTTTATGTTAGGGATTTGATCCAAAAGTTTCAACGAACGGGATCGGTCAAAAATCAAAAAAGGGTAGGGCCCAGGGTACTGAATGAAGAAATGCAAATCGAAGTTATTGGTCAGGTGTCGGTCAATCCAGAAGCATCAACGTGCCAGTTGGCATGAATAACAGGCATACCCCGAACATCTGTCAGAAGAGTATTAACAACGCACAAATCCCACCCCTACAAAATGAAAATTCTGCAGGAACTTGGCGATGATGATCCAGATAGAAGGATTCAGTTCTGCGAACTAATGACGGAGGAAATTCGAAGGCAACCTTCACTCACTAAAAATGTTTGTTTTAGTGATGAGTGCTCGTTTTTGCTAAATGGAAATGTGAATAAACAGAACTGCAGATACTGGAGCGATGAGAATCCCCATATTGTTGTTGAAGGACATACCCAAAATCCCCAAAAGCTCAATGTTTGGTGCAGAATACTGGGCGATAAAATAATAGGTCCATTTTTCATCGACGGAAATTTGACGGGTGCTGTTTATGTGGAAATGCTGGACAATGCGATAGAGCCGGAAATTGTAAATGAGGTTGAAAATCAAAGAGATTTGGGAGGAAATTTGAATCTTGATGAAGACATCATACACTTTCAGCAAGATGGAGCCCCTCTGCATTATGCTATTGTCACAAGGCGGTGGTTAGATAGATTTTATCCAAGGCAATGGATTGGCAGAAGGGGTCCAATCGAGTGG